ATATCGTGCCAACTGAATCATGGGGCGGCCCGTGAAAACCAAATTGATTTGCAAATGAGTGTATTGCTCGGAAGAATCCGGTTTCTGTTCCTATTCTGTTGGATTATGTGTGGTGTTCCTCGTCCATTCGAACTTGTTCACAAGCCAAAATGCTTTATCACACCTGGGGAGCACCGGTACAGAGCGTAAGCGCAATTTTGGATGAACCTGTGGCTAGCAGTGAACTGATCCCTAGTTGGGAAGGGAAGGGTCCGGAAGACTTACTAAGTCACATTTCCTGGATGCCGTACATCTGTGACGACGATACCTATTCGCACTGGATGTTCCGGCCGTCTGACAAAGTCCTTATTTCAAAACAGTTAAAGTGACTTGATGTGTTTTGTAGACAGAAATTGTTCATTTTTTTCAACAGCGGAATCATTTTGCATGTAGTTTACTAGTCTTTAGCTTGAAAGGACGTCAATAATGCTCTTTAAACGGGACTGAAGTGTTTTTCTCCCACAACCGTTTGGATGTGTAAGACGTAGAATAGTACTTACGACGACTGCGATAAAGTAAGCAGTAAAAAAGACCGTGTCTGCACACTTGTGACGTGTTTTATTAGGGAGTGGAATAACGGAAACAACTGGTGACCGATCCTGAGTGATAGCTGTGAAGACTGTTGTGCAAGAATTGAAATTTGGATTAGAGAAGTTCCAAGTGCTCCATCCAGCTAGTTGTCGTTCTATTCGGGATGAAAAATATCACCGCTAATATTGACGAGGACTTTGAAAGTAGAACTGGTTTCAAGAGATCTCACTGACTGGTTCTCCGTCTGTCTTAAAACTAGAACAGTCTGGCCATTTAGTCACTTGGCTTGACGAAGCTTTTGTGTCAGAAGGCACAGCTCAAAGTAGAACTGGTTTCAAGAGATCTCACTGACTGGTTCTCCGTCTGTCTTAAAACTAGAACAGTCTGGCCATTTAGTCACTTGGCTTGACGAAGCTTTTGTGTCAGAAGGTAGGCACAGCTCACTATTGATACTAATGACTAGTTATCAGGTCTTTCTGAAGTGATGTTCAGCGTTCCTGTAGCGAGCAATGAATGTCATAAAAAAAATAAAAGATGAGGCCCAATGAATAGACTTAAAACCATCCTCTCAGCAAAGTAAACACCCTCGAACTTGTTTCTGTCGAAAGCGATTCCCTCTAGCTGCATACTGGAACCATGAAGATAGAGCAAAAAAGTTCCCTGCGCACTCGGAGGTCAACCCCCATGATCGTATTGATGTCCCCAAACATGCTGCGCAAATCTGGAATAGACTGGATGAACAAACAGCAAGCATCGTATTGAGTTTCATAACTAATCTCCAGCCTACACATTCCAAGGCACTGATGAAAAAACTTCTACAAACCTGACGTCAGAGGCCAACTCGATACCAGACTTTGTATTATCAGTAAGGTCATCGATGAATAGCTTGTTTTAAACATGGGAGTATCCGTTTCAAGAAAGAAAACACTTCGACAGTCCACGACCGGTTTCACCCGTTTTGGGGCTCATCTGGATGGGCACAGTCCTCGAATTTACGTCGCCTTATGTTCTACTAGAACACAAATTAGACTGATCGAGACAAATACACTCTAAATCAACCAAATCAACCGGGTTATTACGAAAGACTCAAATGAACCTCTCGTTTACGATGTTCTTCAACCAAGTGTGCTGCGCACAGGCCACCACATGTTTCAGTTGGTAAAATGTTCGAAATATCGCAGTATGCTTTCATAAGGGAAACTACCCACAAGGTTGCTGAAAGCTGTTCGACAGCTTTTGAAACGTTGTGTGGGGCACTACTCTATCTGCTTGGTGTGCCTCGCAGGTCCGCCCCCCTCTACTTCACCATTTTTATGCCTTAACTGTATCAGTAACATTTTACGGCACTAGTGTTTTTTTCACTTTCGTATTTAATTTGTGACCCGTAAATAATCCACCTAAAGACTTCAAACGTTTCGGAGAGTTAGACCAATGTTGCTCATATGTACAAATGATAATTGAACAGCCATAGTGTTGTGGACCTCAATGCCTTCTTATCACCATAAACCCCGGTCTGGATAGCCACTTAATCACCCGGTGCGCTTGGCCAAACCAGAAAAATCAATGGACGTGCGAACCAGCTGCTCTATTGATCACCGTCGCGTAGAAGCGGGTCAAAAAGTGATACTAAGAATACAACTCGTCTGTCAAGGGCGAGTGAAGGACAACCAATGAAACCTGTCTCAACGAAAAACGGTTATTCCATTGGTTGTTAGTAGTCCCGTTACTTTCGGAGCTGGTTCTTTTAATGCATGTGTGACATGAGTGAATCTTACGGGTGATGCGGACTGCCAGGCTGTTATCTTCGAATGCTTTGAAAATTATGGATCGCAGGTCAAGTTTGTGACTTTTGGATCTACACCAATTACACAGGGTTCAGCTGGACGGACACCCGTCACAGTGCTGTGTGATGTCACCCACGCTGAAACTTGTTCCATTAGCGCAGTTCTATTGGAAAGCCTGCAAACGCGAGTTTGTATCTGATAGCCAAAGACAAGGCAATCTTACATTCTTGGCATTGCCGATAGTCTAATGCGAAGTGTCGGCAGCCACAATTTCTAAGCACGCTCCCAATGAGAAAAGGAATCTTCGGAAACTGATACACGAGTGGATTAGATAGGTGTGATAACCGTTCCAGCACACTTACCGTCCGTTACATCAAATATCTCAGAGACCTCGCGGATGTGGTGCTCAAATGAATGCCTACTTCTCCGTTGGAACATTTTTATTAGCTCACCACTGCCTCTCATTCCCCGATGCTCTTAGACACCCTTTCGGTGCCTTGCTGCAATGCTACCCAAGGGAAGCATGAGGGTTGGCATACTGCCAAGTCGCCCAAGCATAGACAGAGAAGTCGAGAGGCAGAGGTCGGGTTCGAACCACGGATCTTCTGGTCAATAAATTCGTTCTCTAATCACTGAGCCATCCCGACCTTTAGATACTTTTATATACTAGGTATATTTGTGGATAGAGTTCCATTGTAATCTGCCTTCGTATGCTGACATCGAGTCCGCTGGTGCTGGCTGTTCACTACATGCAACTTTGGGTGTCTTTTCAATCTACTTCTTACCAATAAGCGAGTTTGGGCATCATCTTTGGAGGTAAGTGCAACCAAAACACCTTGAACGTCAACTAACACGTGGTATCATCTCTCACACTTCTTTGCGCCTTGTCATGTGACCCAGATTTTCAACAGTTCTCGACGTACTCATTTCCTGTGCACCGTTTTCCACCCTCTAGTTGGTGAGATGACCACGGATGCTTCAGCTCTACTGTTGAATGCACTGTGTGAAATCACAACTCAAGAAGCCTTGATATTTCAAATGACATCTCAAGCCAAAGCACCCCCCCCCCACATCACACGCGTTCTCTCAAAGACTGAGTTCAGTGAGTATTTTAGTCAGACAGGTTGCTATATCAACACCAGCTGACATTCTTTGCAGTGACCAGTCATCAATCCCTCCGTAACATAACGTTCGAAATTCATCCCACTACTGAATACCAGCTGTAAAGTGATGAAAACCTTAGCCGCAGATGTCCGGTAGCACTTTTCGGGTAATCCTACCTTCTGTGACAAAGTCTAGCTGAGTATCTTTCGAAGTTGTTTTTGTCGAGGGACTGATGTCGCAAAGTGAACTCGCTCATTTACAACACTCACCGGCTAACAGCGAATACTCCCAGGTGACGTTTACTTGATAACTAGTTTCTCACATCAGCTACTGTTGTATCGTGGGTGGCCGCCTATTGGTTACGCCTGCACTGAGAATGCCAGACTACGCGATAGGGAAAGGACAGAGAACTCGGGATACAACTGTATTGTCAGGACAAAACATACAGAGCACCTGCGTAAATATATATGATGACTAAATGGCCAAATATGGTAGTTCAATTATTCGTTCTGTACAGCCAATGGAGGTGTTCCGGTCGTGAACAGTCTCAGGCCCACTACGCTGGTCGTGTGTTGCTAGGCCGTGTTTGGTGGGAACCGTCGACTCACCTACTTTCCGGACGTGTCGTAGCGATGGTGACCTTGGGGATGCGTCACTCTCTGCACGTGCTTTTTTCATGTCTGGGCGCGTCCTGACAGCTACTCATCTCCACCTTTCAATTTACCTAGGAATTCTGGGACCTCTTCGATTACGGAAGAAAAATAAGCGCCCAAAGTAGCTCATCTTCTACATTCTGTTGCTGACCCAACAAGTTAACAAAAATTTGTTTTTCGGTTGACTAAAGAAACGTTCTTTTTTAGGGTCGTTGGATACCTTTGGAGAGTAAATGTCTCTCTTTTGGGAGTTGGACTTTTTTCCCTCAAAATCGTTGACACGTGACTTTTGACATTCTGTAGCATCTAGCTGAATTAGGTACTATATACATTAGTTCCGCAGTTTTATTTTAGCAGTCTGGACCGTGAATCTAGACTTCCTGCTTTTCGCAACAGCTGTTTTTACCAAGGTGATAAAATGGGCGCGCTAACTGAATCCGCACATCAGCGAACTACACTCATTTGCAAACTAATTTGGTTTTTCGAGAGACTCACCTGGAACCCAGCTGAATTTCTCGTTTGTGATGTTTCCAGGCAACTGAATGTGCTGCACCAGGCCGCCTCATGTTTCAGTCGCTACGATATTTGAGATATCGCGATACATGTATATCTTTGTAATGTACTACTCGTGAGGTTGCTGAAAATCCGTCGACAGCCCACGACCGGTTTCGCCCTTTTTTAAGCTCATCAAGTAGGCGCAGTCCCCTAGTTTCCGTCAATCTTATGTTCTACTTGTAACCAAACAGCACGAAATTAGCGAATATACACTCATTTGCAAACTAATTTGGTTTTTCGAGAGACTTACCTAGAACTCAGCTGAGTACCTTGTTTGTGCTGGATCCAGGCACATACTTTTTGGAGTTTCAGCTGCCCAGGCCACCTGAGAGCCATGTGCACCAACGGGTACGAGAAAAGCGGCGTCCGATCGCCAGGTAAGTGAAGTGAGTTGTTCCCAAGTCAAGCGGCTACCGGATGAGCAAAACTCAGTTTCTCTAAACTGTGCCAGACAGTTAGAGATCCGTCCTTCAGACTTGTTTCATAGATTAATGGTAACCAAGCAACAGAGTGAGTGCTAGGAATGGATTAGCTACAATGCTGCAAGCACTCATAACTGCATCCGTCATTTCCAAAACAGGCAATGTGCATGCACACCTGGTGAAGTGTATCATGTACTTTCAAAGGTGGATGGTTTCACTTTTGTCATGATTCACCCATTTTAGTGAAATTGTTTCGTGATTGTTAACGATAAAACTGTAACCGAATAGGAAGGCTCTTGGTCGGGTTAGATAACGAGCTGGTTGCCTAAAAGGTGGGCGTGAGCATCCTAGAGATCAGCTGGAAGGTTGGTTTGGATTACTTTGTGAGCGACCGCACACCATACTATTCTTCATTGCTTTTTCTCATCAGCGAACGTTTAGTATGGTGAATCCGAAAAGGCTAAAAAGATGTCTCTGAAAGACAAAAGCGGCGCAGGGTTTGGACCAAAACCCTGCTGTATTCCATATAGAGTTCGCTTGTCATTAAGCAGTTCCCCATTCACCATGACCACCCGACGTTTCTGGTAACAAAAGAGAGAGAGCTTCGTTCGGCCGAAATGCTATCTGCTCCCAGAGGGTTTAATAACAGTCCCTGGTCAGTTCCGTACTGTTCCATCCATGCCCACCGTGATTGTTGGCTGTTGACTGCGTCCGGCGATACATGGAGCTCGAAAGCTGAAAGATGCGGTCTAAACTCGCCAAGAGCGAGCAGTGGTGTCGCAAGTCTGGACCGTCAATCAACGCCTGTAAATCCGGGCTCGGATAGTATGCAAAAAACACGGCCAGTCTATTATGCAGATTGCATTCGATTTTGCGGTGAATCTAAGATCTACATACACAAATAAGTATCGATATAGAAGACTCTGTGGCCCCTAGGCACTTAGAATAAACACCTGAAAATTTGATCCGAAGCTATTTCGGATACCCAAAGTCAGTCATTCAAGAATAACCGATGGTACAGTAAAGCGTATGTACAGGCCCTGGAACATGCGCAGTGACTAATTGCAGCTTCATGGAAGCCATGTGAGCAAAAAAATGTCAAATTCTGCGGAAATTTGTGCCTAAATATTGGTGCTTCTGAGAAAATTTCATTTCTTTCATTCAAAAAAGCAAACAGGCCCACACACACAAGTAAATGAAACTTCTTGCTGAAAACGGAACGGACAGACGGCATGTGAGACCCCGGACTTGGACGGAGTTTCCGAGCAGAGAGCTCAGATCAACAGGGTGCAAATACTCGCATATCCACAAAACCGGCGCCTGTTCAGGGCTAATACTGAAAGTGTGTAAGGTGTCCGCACTCGGAACTTGGAACTCACAGTCTCATTTATCAAGAGGAGAGGAAATCACTGTTCTTGGTAGAACAACCAAGGGTAAAAAATTTCATCTGAATGTTGGCGAGGTAGTGCTTGAAAATCTGTCCGGCTGGGTTCGGGCTCAATATCAGGAGTGAAGGTGCCTGAGGCGGCAAGCACTACGGCTGTAAGAGGTTTGTAAGGCTAAGGACAGCTATACTTGTGGGTTGCCCGTTTCCCACGTTCACGTAGTTTGGTTTCACTGTTGGTGATGATTAGTTGATGACAGGAGTGGTTGAAATGTGAATGTTCCGTCATTGGCGCTCACCAGCCTCAGCACTTTCCAATTTGTCAAGAGTATGCTGTTTGGTGGCGAAGATCTTGAATGTAGTTGCTTCTGTCAAAAATCACTGGCGAACTGGAGTCTGGTAGCTTTTTAGTTTCGATGGACAAAAGTTTCTGCATCGAATGTTTGCAACCGGTCTAGCCTGTACAACGTTATTACGCCTAACGTAATATGATTGTTAGTTTATCAAATCGGGGTGTGTGCTACGTTCGTTAATTCTGTCGCGTAGATATCTAAACCACAGATAAGTGTGACCCACTTTAATGGAAATGCTTGCTGTACGATCGTGGGCTCAGAAGCCCTAAGGAGCAAAGTGGCGTTACGAATAGAAGGCACAGTCAAACGCTACAATCAGCCTAGATGCAGTGGAGAACAGTGTAGGGTAGTATGGTAACAACAAAGTTCGCCACCTTCACTTCTCGCCCCATGTGTAAGTGCATTCTTACGTACAAAAAAAACAAGATGGAAAATTGGATCTCATGTAGGTCGTACCGCTCAACTTGAGTTTTTTCAACACCTTGAGTTCTATTATAGTTGATCTGAAAGCAGGTTGTCGGCTGCAATGTTTTTGAAACATTTTGAAAGGGTTTTTTCAATGATTCGCGAGAGGCTTCCCGTGAATCCAGGTGACAAGTAGTATAGCTGGTTCCAAGTTGCACGGAAACTGACCGTGTAAATAGGGCCAGTTCCAAGTTAAGTGCTCTGTATTGCACTACAAATTTGTTGGTTCAGCCGACACATTCTGCAAGTAAACAATGAAATTTGATAGGCTGACTGTAAACCACCAAAGTGATTAATGCCTGGGAAAATGAAATCAATCAGGCTGACTAGCATGGAAGACATCTAGGTCAGGTGCAGTGCAAGCGACCCTCAGCTTCAAGGCCAGATTAAACAGGATGCTCAACTCATCCACCAGACGAAAGAATACGAGTTCGCGTTATGATACCTTGCAAGCATCAATATTCGATTCCCAAAGCAACTATGTAATAAAGCGACACAAGAGGACGGGAAGTAGATACCAATAACCCAAAAAATTAATCTACTACGCGGACTATAGGCACACGCCGTTGAAAATCCACTCCAGAAAGCTAAAAGAAAATGAGAGAAAACTCACTCAAGAGCAATGTCATATTGCAATCTACGCTAACGAATCACCTAGTGATGATTGAAAAGGTAAACCCTTTATAACCAGAACATTTCCGCCTATGCAATAGAGTGTTACAATAAAACTCGATATGGCGTGCCGGGTGAAATCACCAAAGTTTGTACAAGAATCCGCACTCGTTTAAGAGCAAGTTCTTCTTGCTTGGTTGTGCTGTGTCTCTGAAACAAGGATTCAAGATGTGAGCAAAGTGGTTGAGCTAACCACCCCATCACTCTCTACTCACTCTCGGCTGTGCATCTTTGGTGATACAGAGGCCGCTGCGGCAGTATGTACAGGGTCGGTATGATCCTAAATCATTGGGTGGAGGGAACCTTGCTTCACTGGATACCCTATGACAGTCGCCTCCGAGAGGTTTAGTGGGCAAAGAAATGAAGGTGTAAAGGAGTCTCACAAGCGGGAAGCTGATCGCTGTTTGTTTGTCCTGCCTGCTTAAGCCCAAACTGACTGTAGCTCTGAAAACCTCAAAGACAAGTTTACGACGCCTTGAGTTGTGGTGGTTGCGGTGGACTAAAATCTCGGATATCATTGTGGTTTTTGGAAATCTGAGTGCACAAGTGGACAGGATTGGGACTTCTGAGACTTAGCTAGTTAGGTGACATGGACTGGACTCGGTACGTACCGACAATGGTGCTGACCGCAGGCTGTGTTCATGCGCCAGTTGATGAACCTAGGATGTTATTCGCGGTATCCATGGTGAAACAGCTATCAATCGGTTCGAGTACCCAGGTAAATACACCTTGGTGAAAATTGGAGGCTTTTGTAGTACAGCAAAGGTCGCAGCTTTATAAAAGCCCATTTAACTGATTTTGTAACCAGAAGATAGCTCACCCCCACCCTGAACAAACCTATAAGCACCGCACTACAATTATGCGGTTTTTCAACTTGATGATGATGAGCAGGATGAGGATGATGATGATGATGGCGATTATGATGATTAGATAAGCTATCTATTCTACCGACCAATCAGAAAGTCGATAAATCGTTCCAAATTAGAGTGGAATTTTTAAATAGCAACCGCTGTCGCCGCGCATGTGGTAAGCACCAGTGGATGCTGTATTTAGACTGGGCACATTCCTGGGTTCTGCTGCTAACCAGAAACATAGATTTACGATGCTTGCCTAGTTGCTAGACGGCTGCCAACATTCCCTATCTATTGGTTTGAGAGGTCATGTTAACTTCTTTCTGGAGTGTGCCATGGCTCTACGTGGGCTTGGATACTGCCGGCTTTCCCACACCTAGACAGAAGGACGATTAGGGTCATCCACCAGAGTCTTTGACTCAAAAGCCTAAGCGGAAGGCAGTGGTGTTTGCCAGGGAATGCAAGTGCATTGCCATTTTCATAAAACGAGTCGCCACATCAAGTCCAGGAGACTGTGTTCACTAGACCTCTAAACACTGACCAACCTGGTATCAGAGATACTGCGAGTGTTGTGCGTACACCCTCTAGTATAGATAAATTGGTCCCCGAGGTTCGCAAACCGCCACACCACGGTAAGGTCCAGTCTGTTCTTGACGGGCGAGCTCCACCCCCAAGCCACCGTCTTCTTCACTCGTGGGTTCATCTATGGATTACTTTGGTCGTGTTATTCTTTTCAAATGGGTCGATTTGCCTTTGATCTTGCCTCTTTCTGTGAATTCCCGGTCACGTGACTCTGACCCAATCAGGATGTGTCTGATTCTCAGGCAATAATTCCAAAGTGAACTCCGTCAAAAGAGAAAGTGACACGAAATCATGCAACAAACTGCACTGAACACTTTTGATGCTATCCTGTTACACCTCATTTTCTAGAAATAAAGCGATTTTTTGCTAATTAATAAAGGAATTTCTGCATTTACTCAAGATCCAACTGTGCAAACAAAGGATAGTGTCACAGTCAACCTACTCTGGATGGCCTATCAAAATAATCAGCTGGTCAACTGACGCAGCGACCTTCATTGCTCACAAGAAATGAAGGTTTCAGGTATGCAACTAAGTTGTTGGGTGATGTTCAGATTGGCGTCACCGATCACCTTCAACATCAAGTGCTTCTGTAAACAATTTACAACTGGCACGTGCAATACGGATGAGTTTATCGGCTACTCTTTTAACAACCTCAGCGCTGTGTGAAGCTGAACAGAATCAAATGCCGGCATACAAAGACAAATAATTCGAGACGACGCTGCTCAAACCTCGCCTCGTTGGTCGATAAGATTCGCAGAGTATTCAGGATTAGTAGACTCATCTGCGATTGTATACAATCGCCATTTCGAGTCATCCAACGAGAGCTTCACACAAGAGTACTCAACGGGCATTTCTTTGAACCGTGGTAGATATATACATCAGAATATTTATCAAATTTCTTCTCTCGTGGATGTCAAGAATTTTGCTGTGATCCATGTTGTCTCAGTATAGCAGTGTGGCACAAAGAATGGCTCTGTATATTAGCTTTAGGCCATTGCTTCATGATAAGAATTCCATGGTCCAGAATTCAAGAACGATGGAAAATGGAAGCGGGTAACAACACCATCATCTGCTTCCAGGAACTTACATAATTGGTCTCCAAATTCGTTCTTGGGGATAGGTCTCTACGTAAGAAGGCAAGAAACAACTGCGGTAAAATCGACCAATCTACAATCACAAAATAAATCGTCGCCAAATAAGCCGGATAACACACAGTGAAACGGCTGGACGGACCAGATGGCGGGGATGCCAATATGGGTACGCACAGCACAAACGTTATTGGCACTAGCCGGATTGCAAGGTCATTTGGACGCTGACCAATCAGGCAAAGACTTAACCGGTGGAATCGGCCATCCAGACGACCAATCGAAATCGGAGGTCACGACTCAGCGACAGCCATTGGTACCGCACCACGCAACGCCTACACACCGATGTACTGATAAGCTGTAATGAACAGTTAACTTGCAGCGCAGTGACTAAGTTTAGTGACAAAACGCCTGTAACCAACCCGTCCAGACCAGGGAACAAAACATCAGCTACTGCGGGTTGCACATGAAGAACTAGAAGCAATCTTCATATCCTGTTTTTTGGCATTTTAATCAAATAAGTTGCTTCCTTTCAAACACGGATATAACGCTCTTTTCGCACCTATCACAGCTCCCACGGCTACGGATATTGCACGTGGATTAAAATTTCCTCTGTACCCAATTAGGTGTGAAATTCTAACACAAGGTTTGAAGGCCAATGCGCCTTCTAAAGATTCAAGCATGACTGTTGTTTGGGTCATACGATTGGTGTGTGTTTTGCAGTTACAACCATGGGCAAGCCCATTTCCTGGGTGCTGCAGAAATCTCAATATGCAGGGGAAATTTGAGGAGACTCAACTAAATTCATTTGAATTTTTCGTTTATGATGGTCCGCTTCAACTGAATGTGCTGCGCCAGGCAGTTTGTACGTAGAATTTTGTATATGAGCTGCTCCCAAGCAAAACTGCCGTAAATACCTCGGCTTTTAAAAGGTTTTGTGACATCCTCATCGCACAATCTACGGTACTGGATACTTTGCATATGGCGTCCAAAATATGCTGCAGTCGGGGGAAAATTTTATCTGACAGTGCCAATCCGATCCTATGTGTTGTGTAGTGTACGCGGTTTACGGTGTAATTCGGTTTCCTAATAGTTGATTCTGTCAAGGCGAGTAAATCGCTCAGCTGTAGCACCCTTTCGGTGCCTAACTGCCATGCCACCCGAAGGTTGCACGAGCGCTGGGATACTGCCAGGTTGCCCAAGCCTAGACAGGAAAGTCGAAAGGCAAAAGTCGGGTTCGAACCACGGAACTTTCGGCCAGTAAATTCGCGCTCTAATCACTTGGGCCATCTCGCCCGTCAAGGCGTGTATCCCGCCTTGCAGTTGGTCCCTTCAATCTATTGATTTTTATGTTGGCAGACAGGCTCAGCATCGAAGAACATCACCCCATCCATTCCTTCCTTAGTAGAATGACCAGATAACGAGTTTGTACAAGTTACAGGACAAAACATGTTCGAAACGTATCCTAGTCGTGTATGACAAAGGTCTTTATGCTAGTCCACCACGGGTTTTGCACCTCTCGGAATTATTCATGCCAATACCATCGAGTTTACTGTTTTCTATAGAGGAGAATGTCGGTAGCTTAGGTGGCGTGGTGAGTTAACCCACCGCTACACACAACTACGCACTGACGATGTTACCTCGATTGGTGATGAAACGTTTGCAACCAAATTGCCCAGCTCAGCGTGTGTGTGTGTGTGTGTTGGAACCAAGTATATCCGTAATAAGAAATGGCAACATGTTCACTCCCGTGTAGTTCGGCTTCTGAAAGAAATAAGTAAAAACAAAGTGGTTCTCATACTATTCGATATGCCGTATTAGCGATAAAACTAAGCGGATGATTTACTCTGTATACACAGTTTAATATAACTGAGTGTCACGTTCGTAGACCTTATCAGAATTGTTTTGACAGGTGATTGCCGAAGATGACTGACTACTGGTAATCTAAGTCACCTGAGACGTACCCAGCAGTAGGTGGAACGTCGCTTAACTTGGTGTGGTTAGCGTACCACACATGGCGCTAAGAGGGCCCGACAAATAAACTAAATGCATACAGTAATGAGGTTCACTGCGAGATAAGACCATGCTTAGAAAAGTCATTAAAGAATTCACATAGTGTCTTGCTTTGGGTGCATGGTGAACTTTTTGAGAATTTTTTGTGATAGGCTGTACGCGACGGTACGCCATAAAACAGTAGATTTCGCCGGCCGATTTAACTCAATTCATGAAACACTCGGTCCACCTCGGGAACCAGTTGAAGTCTCATCATTTTTCTTCACTGGCACAATAAATCTCTCTAACGGTCACCTAATCAACCACTTTTTGGCCGGTTAGAAATGTAGACAATGTCCGGAACACATCGTTTTTGCCGCAACTAACATATCTTCCATGGGCTACGATTTAACCACCATCGTGGACTGGTTTCACTGTATCACTGCAAGTAAAACAAATCCACCACGTATATGCGACAGGTAGTGTTTACCGGACTTCCTTTTGACCTATCGAAACTTATACTTTTTAGTGTGAGTTTCGACCACTGGATAAGGGTCCAGTCGGAGTTAAGTCAACCCGGTGACAAAAATGGTGTGTACAAACCGACAAGTGTTGTGGCCAAACAAACATGTCGGTTTTGGGGACAGTCATTTGGTATGGCAACCACAGAGGGTCGTGTTCCTACTTTCGAGCCTTGACACACCTCTCGGTTCTCCCGACGTAACTAACACGTGAAATGGTGCGCAGTTTAACTTTGCCCCGAAAGGTAGACAAACAAACACCCTTGGACAGGTTTCAAACCCAGAGTAAACCGGACGGCATGGATTCGAGCACTGTCCAAGGGGCATATTGCGTGAATAAATGCCATAAAATAGTACGCCGAAGAACTGCACAAGTGAAAATCAATACAAACTGATGAACAACTTCACTGTGCCCCGATTGCGTAAACAGACTGTAAACATCGGAGCAATTCCGTTTCGTTTTCGAAAGGCAGCCGCGCATAAACTACACACTGTTCTGTTTCGAACTGTGTTCTCAAAACAGATGCAATTGTGTATTCAGTATAAGTTCAGTCATCCAGTTTTCTCCCAGTGCGTTAATTTGCCACCCAAAGTCAACCCACAAAATAGAATTCGATTGGTTTCGGTGCTTTCATATTCCCAGTAAATTGAAGAGTTGAAGTTAATCTTAAAAGATGACCGAGTTTCCGGGCAACGACAGTGCCCGAGGAATGTACAGAACAGTAACTAGCAGTTAGTAGTCATCGTCTTCAGATTCTTCATCCAGCTGACTTGGGTCCCATATGGAAAATCGCTTGCCCTTCGGTTCTGCAACTTGACGATCGATCTCTTGGGGATTCTTCTTACCCTCTTCATCCTCATCGGCCTGACTGCCCAAAGCAAGGGTCCGCGATTTCATCATGTCTCGCCAGGTACTGCTAAATGATACCTGACGCTTTCCGTGTGGAATAAGTGTCGGCCTTCGTGACGACCGTATTTTATCTAAAAAGTCCGCCGCAGCATAAGGTTTGGATTGCGGAAGCGCTGCAAAGCTCGCGTCGTGTTCCAAATCCAGATCCGCACCGCTAGGAGGGGTCTTTCGAGTATAATTAAGTAAAGATCCAGCTGAATCCACTCCATGCAAGCATCGTTGTTTCAATGTTTCCGGTATGTCCTTTAAGTAGACATCCTTATTTTTTGGCTGCACGGAGGCGTAATGTAGTTGCAAGGAAATTTTCTCGTACACATGCATAAGTTTCTCGTCATACATTTCCGGATCACGTTGAAGAATGCGTCGGAAATATTTCTCGTCCAACCGCATGAAAGTATCACGAACCACATTACGGCCTTTCACGGCACTGATCACTTCGATACCTGCCAGTGTCTCGTCCATCATACCAGCGTTTAGTACACCAAACAAACTCAATTTTTCTTTGCTTTGCATCCGAATTTTGAGAAGTTTCACCAGAGGCTTCATCGTCATTCCCATAAAGCCAACGGTGAATAGGATGATGAACAATGTTGTGGTGATCATGACACGGCGACTGTAGAGCCCGTGGAATCCAAGCCGATCGGGAACAATCAGAATGGCCAAGGAAAATGCAACTGCACCACGCAGACCACCGTAGATGAGCACCAACTGGTTGGTGAACGAGATCTTTGTGTTGTCCACATGAACAGCGTTCACCACAGCGGTGATAGCAAGCACAACAATGGCGCGTGCAACCAGACACAGTACGAGGCTCCACAAGGCAAAACCTGTGTGCCACTCCAAGGTCCCCCGCAATACCTCGATTCCAAGAAACAAAAATATCACAGACTCACTGACTTCAGAGACCAGTTTTGTCAGTTTATGCACCACAGTCACAGATTTATTGTCCAAGTTGTGGAATGCGTAGGCAGCTTGCACAAGTCCACAACCTATCATTGAAATGATCCCAGACCAGCCAACACAGTCACTCATGATGTAGGAGAAGTAGGCCAGTAGAATGAGAGTAAATGCATTTAGATGGCTCTTCAATCGAGTTATAAGACAGGAAATGATTCCCACAACAACTCCAATTGCCAATCCACCAAAACTGACGGTGAAAAACGAAGCGATACCCACACCGATTTGTTGACCTGTCACATCGTCTGTCCCAGCAAAAGCAGACATTATGTCGTAAAGCACGACAGTGATCGCGTCATTCAACAATGACTCACCAAACACAATGTAGTACAGACCCAACTCCACTCCAATATCTTGAAAAATGGCCAAAACCGCGACCGGATCCACAGCAACAATCAGCGAGCTGAATAATAACATGCCCTTCAGATCGAAACGATCTTTTTCCCCACCCATTGCGCCGGCAACAAGTAATCCATACATTGCGAAACCAATAATCAAAAAGTTCAAAATCGTTCCCAGCACGGCGAATATCAGTACCACACCGAGGTACTCACTGAACGTCCTATTGTACAGAGAGTAGGATGCTTCGAGGACAATCGGGGGTAGGAGGTAGTTGAAAAACAAGTCGGGCGTCAGTTGCCACACAGTTCCTTCGAATGTGCCCTGGCTAATCCCATATTTGACAATCGCACCAAATATTATCCCGACAATGATCAGAAGCAAAGATTCTGGGACGTAATCCGGTAAGTAGGGGATGCGGTGGAATAGCATTTTTAGCAAGATCATTGCCAGCAAGAACAACATCACAGTGATGTGAACAGCAAACTCTTGAAATTCCCATTTGGCCGCGACAATTTCCGATATTTCTGAGCTTGCTGTCACAATTGGGAGTAGCCCAGTGGAGAGCCATAGACAAAAGTGAGAGGTTGAGAATACGGGCATAGTTTGTGGCCGTCTCCTTAGGTGTGGATACAACGATACAAACAGGTGTTCAATATGTCCGGGCAGTGTGACAGAAGACCAAAGAAGTAGCTCACACAGATCCCTATAAATACGTTGTACTTCACCGCCTGATTCGTCGATCACATGTAAGCAGTCAAACATGTCGCCAGTCAAGCAGGAAGACCCGTCTCTGTGATTGGATGGCACTATGTTGCAGTGGAGCTGTTGCCACGTGACTTGACCATCACTGCAATCCATACAGACTAACAGCATCATCTGTGTGGAGAATGTCAAGCTTTAAACAGAAATGTCACTCATTGTTTGACTTGATTGCAAGCGACTGTAGCGCTTGTGCTCCGGATGAAACACAGTGATAGTAAGTTGATTCCGGTGACAAGACTGGTCTGGTGAAAAATCGACCGAAATGATTGCATAATTACCCATCAACAAATAAATTTGGTACCGAAATGATTGGCTAATATCCGAAATTTCTATCAGAAATGCAGCGATACATCGCTGAGGACGGCATGTCCAAACACTCAAATCAAACTATTTGTGAAGTTTAAAGTACCTGTTTGAGGTGATCTAAGTTCCAGCTGATCTGTGCGTGAGTTCCAGCTGATCTGTGCTTGAGTTCCAGCCCCATAATCACCTTCAGGATTCAAGTGATAGATAGCCTTTGCCATCGGTCTTTCTGTCTACTCATTCATATGCTTCTGGGAAGCAGTATGTATTGGTGGCTCCGATAAGTACTCCTGAAAAATGTTTTTAGCCAACCTTCGACTCGCCAGTATCACCTAGCTCGTTCGAAAATGAGTACTCAGCTTTTACACACAACTACTCTCGATTTTAAAGTGGGACAATAAAACTGGCGAAGTTTCTTTACCACATAGTTCCAACGATTGGCATTCACTGCTTCTCAACGCAACTGCACGTTTGAGAATACGAGAACCAACTGCGAGACCTAAGCTCGAGTAGAATGGAGTTACTTTGGAAAGTGCTTGACTGAAAACAAGACGTCGTTCTACTACGTTCTCACTTTTCCTGGTGATCAAGTTCTTCTTTATCGAACGCTGAAATCTCTTTGGTTCACAAATTAACCCATATCTACTGCCTCTTTCGGCTCTGACCACAACAAAAAGGATTGCGTATCTAGCATTCAAGGATTGCGGAAGACACTTGCATACCCATGAAATCCCATTACCCGGCAACTTCTTTGAGGGTTCCTGCGCATTTTGTGGTTGTTCTCGCTGCCTTACTTCTTGGTCCACATGTCAAACTTTCCGTTAGTCGCACAACATGAAATGGTCTAAAATTAGAGCGTACACATTTGTGCTTTTCGCTGATGTAATCGGAGTTACCATTTTCCTCAACCGTCAATGGTGGGTAGGGAAAAAATGATCATACACATATTTGGAATGAATATGACATTGGTAACTCGATTTCCAACCCAAATTTCCAAAGCTCTGGGACCATCCTAAAGAGAATAACTGGTCGTCTTCTTTGAAAACCTTCTTGGATTCAGTTGTCGTTGCATCTCAAGAGTATGCCCCGAAAAGTGCATAATAAACCTAAGCGGGCATCCATTCACATGTAATGCACTACTCATAAGGTTGCTGAAAATCCATCGACAGCCCACGACCGGTTTCACCCGTCTTGTGGCTCATCAGATAGGGGCAGTAGCCGAGTTTCCGTCAACCTAATGTTCTACTTGAAACCAAATTGCACGAAATTAGCGAATATACACTCATTTGCAAACTAATTTGGTTTTTCGAGAGACTCACCTGGAAACCAGCTAAATCTCTCGGTTTTGATGTTTCCAGGCAACTGAATGCGCTGCACCAGGCCGCTCCAGGTTTCAATCGCTACGGTATTCGAGATATCGCGATACATATATATTTTCGTAATGCAGTCACCCGTGCTTGGTAATTTACAAAACCTGGAAATATCAAAACCGAGAAATTCAGCTGGGTTCGAGGTGAATCTCTCGAAAAATAAAACAAAGTAGTTTGAAAATGAGTGTATATTCGCTAACCTAGGTTTATATTTTTCGGGGTAAATCCTCTTATGGTTGGCATTAGATGTAACTGGGCCGTTGTGAGCAACACTCAAGATGGAAATGAGTTTGCATTACATGAGGGTATTCACGTGATCGCTTTTTGATTGATACCGTCATGCATATTTCTGCAAAAATCCCACTCCAACTCCATTTTCTACCCTCACTCTTCAGCAGGCCCGCGCTTATGGCCTAGTTGGATGTAAGTGGAGAAATTTAAATGCTGATATCTCCACGTATCTTTGTGGTGGATAAGCCCTTCTCAGGAACCGCTTTCCATTTGGCCTACTGACAAAAGGGCAAGTAGTCCGATGATCAGGTAAAATAGGCTGGGATTCCCGGGGAACGTGGCGTTGCATTGAATTCATTGAATCCTCACTATGAGCCTTTCGTAACGAGACCGAAGTTTCAAAGTATGTTCAACGTTCATATATCCGACCGCTAATTCAGGATGGAATATAATGAATCCCTCTAATAAAGGACAACTTTGCTGATGGAAGTTCGTTCAGGCGTATCCAGCTCCCTCATATAGCACTGTCAGGCATTTGTCAAGGTGAATCGGGCACAAACGCTAAGGCTCCAACTGACGTATCATGTGCTATTGATTACAGCCCAAACTTTTCAAAATAGTTTCTGCTTGGTTATTCTTCCACTATTCGAATAAAAAAATATTCCTCTGAAAATTGATTATCATAAAAATGAGTCGGATGGGCGTAATGTTGAAACCGGTTGAAAAGACATCGTTTCGAAGCTTTCGGCAAACAATCATCAAACTCGATGACAGGAAACTTTGTGCTTTTGACACAAAGTGAAAAGATTGCCAGTCTGGTGGAGATTCCAAGTGAACAGAGAGGAAACAAGCAATATCTTTTACGATCAACATATCAAATCATTATTGAACGCTGGTTAAAGGTTCTTTTTGTTCAGTATCGACGACTATGCCTTACAAACGTTTGGCTATAGTGAAACATCACTTCAGTGAGAGTTTTGGTATCTGGTTCACTCGTATTTTAAAGTATTTGTTGCTGTTCTTGGCAAGTATGTTTGTATAGCTCAAAAAATAATCTGACCAGGTTAACGAATTAAACTCATTTGCCAAAAAATTTGACTTTCAGAGACACTCACCTGGAACCCAGCTGAATCTTTCGTGTATGATGTTTTCAGGCAACTGAATGTGCTACACCAGGCCGCCTCATGCTTTATTCGGTGCGATATTCGAGATATCATGCCTACCTGATGAGCCCCGAGAAGAGCAAAATCGGTAGTGGGCTGGCGAAGAATTTTAAGCAATCCTATGAGTCATGGTTGTACGGCAGTGAAGCATCAGTGTTGAACAGTGATGTCATGCTGATGATGATGATGATGATGATGATGATGATGATGATGATGATGATGATGATGATGATGATGATGATGATGATGATGATGATGATGAATCCTATGAGTAGTGCACTGCGTATTCACTTAATATTGCCGGTGTCACGCAGACAAAAGCCTTGCCACATCTAAGCATGAATAGGACAACTGGCTTTATCAATAAGATGAGGAAAACCCACTTATGTGAAGCTGTTTACCGACCAACACGAAGGCTATGAGACACAAAAGTGACAACGGAGATTTTAGAAAGTCAACATCTCAAGCGTCCTCATGAAGTTTTCCACACTTTATTGGAATGCTGAACAATAATGAACAAATACTGCAAAAGGTTCCTATCAACCTTCAATTAGATACAGGAACGGTGATTTAACCCTTGACCAGATGCTACCAGCGTGTTCCATCAGTAGTATGCATTGCTACAACAGTTTGTCTTATCCATTTCGGGTGTTCAGAAGTTTCATCGTCTGACTTGACTTGGGGATCAGAACTGTGCTGTTCCTACAATCGTTTGACAAATCAGGCTATCACAACCTTGGTTAATTAACTCTCACTTCTCGTTTTGAATGAAGTCCAATTACCTACATAGTCATAATCACACGCGTTTTTCCGTAAGGCCAGAAGCAGTCATTGTGGCCTCATTTGTCTCAACTAATGCCTAAAGGGACGCTCCGTTTCCTTTAGTTTCAGCGTTACGCTGGTATAAAAACACGCATCTCTGTGCACCCTTCAGAGTTGGTCTCTTTAGAGTACAGTCTTCATAGGTTATCTTTGGTCCTGATTTTTTGGTTGCTAATTCTCCTTTGAACAAAACACCGCATATCAAAAACGATCGACCAGGAACCAGTTTACACAAAAAACGTATTTCATGTTTTATAGTCCTTATCTAACTCTTACAGACACAACCGTTATGCCGGAAATTGCCCACAGTTCTCTACTGATCAGATAAACAACCCCATGGACCAGGTAGGCTCGTCCTGGAAACGATCACTCGTGCAGTCCGAATGGGCAGAGTGTGGTGCAGTCGGCAACCAGCTGGATTGCTGATAAGTTCCCATGGGACGTTATCGAAGAAGGCGCCATGATTGGCCTGCGTGTTCAGATAGATATTATTCCTACTCCCTTACCGAATGAAACGAGTGCCGCTAACAGCTTGTTTTGTTCACCATGTCGTGCTGCCAAAGGAGTGTTACTGTGCGCCAGGCGGTTGATCGATATGTTCATTTCTCGTTCTCATCCACACGCTTTTGGTGTGACGGAATGGAGACATTTTTGATAAACTGTCTGGACTGTTGAAGTTTATCGGACATTACACGATGAGCAAATTTGCTACTGTGAGTTGAAACGATCCCACCTCACCCAAACGATTGGTAGGCGTAGTCAGTGAGCTTTGAATGGAATGATCCTGATGAAATTACAAAACAAGCACAGCTTTCCTTTAGGTGGGATTGTTCGAATTCACAACTCTTGGGCACGTCAGCTCACAGGACGACACAATTCAGGCAAATATTTTTCAATTCACAGATCAGTACAAGCTTGATCGTAGTCAATTATAAAGAATATTCTACCC